ATAGTACAAGCACTTTGAACATTGTTCTGCTATTTTTATTTTTATTTTGTTCTGCTATTTTTTAAATAAAATTAAAAAATACAACCACCATTTGACCTAGCAACTACACTGTATATATTTACCAAAAATAAATAAAAACATATGTCCACACCAAGATTTGAATGTGATAGTTTATAGCAGTTTTATTAATCATAGCCCTAAACTAGAAATAATCCAAATGTTTCCCAACTGGTAAATGGATAAAGTGTGATATGTCCTTACAATGCAATAATACTCAGCAATAAAAAGGAAACTAATGATATGTGCAACAACACTGATTACCTTCAAAAACATCATGCTGAGGAAAAGAAGTGAGACACAAAAGAGTACATGCTATGTAACATCATTTTAATGAAACTCTAAACAAATGAAATCAAATATATAGTGACAGAAAGTAGATCAGTGGTTATCTTGGGGACTTGAAGTGGAGTTAGGTAGAAGAACTGATTGCATGGAGGAAAAGAACTTTTTAGGTTGTTAGAAATGTTCTGTATTTTTTTGTGTTGTGGTGCTTTGTCAAAACTCATCAAATAGTACACTTAAAATGAGTACATTTTGTATATTATTTATACTATCATAAAGTTTATTTAAAAGAAGAAAAAATCCTCAAATTTGTTATTGTATCTCCTTCCTTGGTTATACCAAGGTATTTTGTAGTTAAAGCATGTTGTTTTATGGCTCAGAATATTCAAACCCATTATTTCTTCTCTCTGAAATGTCCTTCCTCCTATCTGCTATCCCCACAGTCCACCCCACCTTTTTGGAGAGTGGTTGGTTAATACTAGTCATGAATCTTACCCTACAATCCTACTCTATAATCTCTTTTTTTACTTGTCTGCCTTTCCATCTAAACTTTAAATTTCTTCAGAGCAGAGAACATGGTCTGGCCATAAATTGGTACTAAAAATTATTGTTGGCTGTTGAAGTATTACTTGTCCAAGTACTTTGCTTCCTGACTATACTCAAAAGGATCAGAAACATTTTAAATCCAGATATGGCCCCTCTTGAAACAATCAATTCTTCAAAAATTAACAACCAAATTTATGGAATTTAAATGGCCACATATCTGATACAAGTACTACATGCCTATGATTAAAGCATTCATTGTTTGTATTAGTCCCAATGTGGCTTTGGAGAACACTACAGTGCACAGAATTGTGAAATGTTTGATATGTTTCCCAAAATGATAAATTACCAAACGCTCACATTATTAAATATGTAATGTACATTGTATCAGAGAGAAACTTTCCTGCTCATTTGGTATCTTCTGAACCTGAAAGGTTTGTTAAATGAATGAATAACTCTGCCTAGTAGTGGTAATACATAGCTGTTCAAAATGCATCATCCTTATTATAAAAATTTCCTCCTATCCGTAAAGAGCACTATGTGCATATACATATAACTCCTTTCATATACAAAGTCTGACCATGTGTCTAATAAGAAATTGTAACAGTAAATTTTCAGATAACCCAGCTTTACAATTATGAATATCAGACAAGGGCTGTTGCCATTTGAATTTCAAAGAAATGTTTGGAAAAAATTTAAGAAACACATTGTTTTCTGTGCAAAATTTAAGATCCATTTTAATTGTTATACCTAATTATAGTTTTTGAATTATGCAGCTTTTGAGTATTATAAATAAATTTAGATCTAATGCAAGAAAAAGGAAAAATAGGAAAATATTTACTCTTTAAAGTACAGTGAATTAATTTAATGTATAAGGCCAATAAAATAATTGTTACTTCTGCCAGATGGTATTTTACATTTTGATAAAAAGATATATTCTTAATCATATATGTCAAGGAAAAGCAACCATATGTTGTTAAACACTTCCAATTTGTCATTTAATTTAAAAGGCACTACTGATGTTGCCATAAATTTTTTTGGTGATGTGGCCTAAGTATCCTTGGTGTCAATAAAATTTAATCTTCCCAAGTAATTTCCATATTTTTCTTTGACTGTTTGAGTGAATAATTCAACAAAGAATTTTCTTAGCATCTATGAAGAAAGTACACCATAAAGGGGATAAATCAGAATCCAGAGTCTATATTCAAGATACTACTGGGTAAAAAGCATAACCTTTGTTTTCAAGAAACCTCTAAAATTTAATTTACTGTATTTAGCAAAATAAATAAAATAAAAGGAATAACTCAAATGATTCCAAATTGATGTGCCCTCAGTTTAGAAACCCAATATATTTTTACAGAAAAAAAAGATAGTGATTATTTATATTACAAAATAATTTTGCACATTACAAAAGGGTTTCTAATGAAAGACACTTTACAGAAGACAGAGAAAATAGATTCAATCTCTAATGGAAAAAGAAAATAGATATTAGATGATTATTAAAGGTTTGTATACCTTTGTTTCCTCTGTCTCTTTGAAAAGGGAATTTGTTGGTCCCTCTTGCCATTTTCCACCCATTTCTTTTTTCACTCTACAGGACTTTATGTATGATTTTTTTCAGGCTTAAAGTTTGAATTATTGGGGCGCCTGAGTGGCTCAGTCAGTAGGCGTCCAACTCTTGATTTCAGGTCAGATCCTGGTCTTGGGGGCATAGGATCAAGCCCTGCATCAGGTTCCATGCTTAGCAAGAAGTCTGCTTCTCTCTCTCTCCTTCTCCCCCTCCCTCTTACTCTCTCCCTCCCCTCTCTTCTTGCCCCTCCCCCATAAAATAAATAAATAAATCTTTTTAAAAAATAAAGTATTCATTACTATGTACATTCTGAAGACTTGCAAATTTCTAATATCTGTGTCTGTCTCTTCTTCAGGTTTTTCATTGTTGTGTGGCTATCTTATTATTTATCCATTCTCCAGCTGATGAACATTTGGGTTGTTTCCAGTTTTTTGTTATTACAAACAATACTGCTATAAATATTCTGTTTTCCATGTCTATTTGACCAAGAGATTCTCAACGATATATACTTAGAAGTAAAACGGCTGGGTTCTAAGGCATGCATGTTGTCAGTTTCAATAGATAATACCAAATTGTATTTCAATATAATCTTCAAACTTTCTCATCACTTTACATTATCACCAACATATAATTTTGTTAGACTTCTTAATTTTTGCCAACCCTAATGGGAAAATAAGTGATATATTGTCTTGCTTTAATTTGCATGTTCCTGATCGCTTATAGGTTGGACATCTTTCATATGTTTGTTGGCCATTTACATTTTCTCTTTTCTGAAATGTCAATTCATGACTTTGGCACATTCTTTACTATGGTTTTATGTGTCCTTTTTTGCATACTTTCAAACTCTTAATTTTGCACTTCAGTAAAATGAAACCTGAAGAGGATACATCACATGGGAAAGGTCATGTTGTTAGTAGCAGAGTCAAAATTCATAGTAACCAGTGATTTTTTTTTTTTTTTGGTGGAAAAGCAACTCATATGCAACTAATGTCATTTCCTTCTATGTCATAATTTTATTTTTCTAAAGTGGAAAGAAATATAATATTAAATTTCCATGACACTTTAGATTGCATTCTATACTATGGATTGCATTTGATCACCTCCTTTCTGAGCCAGGCAGATATATGGGCTTAGCAGTCCACTGAGATTGGCATGCTGCTCCAGGGATGCTACACCCAATAGTGAACATTAAGAAGTCATAGGTTTGTCCATTATATTTGTGAAGAACACAGGAAATTTATTAACAACTATCTTGGGAACTCAAATTTGGGGGATAGAGTGAGGGAAGTATGTTGCGTGATAAAGACCCACCGAGGAGACTGATCTTTTTATTCACTGTGATCTATCTACTCATTATCTAAAGTGATTGAGAGGCAAAATCAAAATGCAGTGTATTTCTTCTTGTTTATAATGAGTTCGACAGGTAGCACACAAGATAATTTTAGATAGTCTATGGACATTTTTCACATTAATAGATATATACTTACCTTGATGAATACTAGAAAAATATATTAAAGGCATATTGGATCTGTGATTTAATGGCTATTATTGCTTAAGACAACACTCAATTTCTTTTTTTTAAATTTTTTATTATGTTAATCACCATACATTACATCATTAGTTTTTGATGTAGTGTTCCATGATTCATTGTTTGCGTATAACACCCAGTGCTCCATGCAGAACGTGCCCTCTTTAATACCCATTACCAGGCTAACCCATCCTCCCACCCCCCTCCCCCTAGAACCCTTAGTTTGTTTTTCAGAGTCCATTGTCTCTCATGGTTCGTCTCCCCCTCTGATATCCCCCCTTCATTCTTCCCCTCCTGCTATCTTCTTCTTCTTCTTTTTTTTTTTTAAAAGATTTTTTTTTTAATTTTTTTTTATTTGACAGAGAGAGATACAGCGAGAGAGGGAACACAAGCAGTGGGAGTGGGAGAGGGAGAAGCAGGCTTCCTGCCGAGCAGGGAGCCCGATGTGGGACTCGATCCCAGGACCCTGGGACCATGACCTGAGCCGAAGGCAGACGCTTAACAACTGAGCCACCCAGGCGCCCCATTCTTCTTTTTTTTTTTTAACATATATTGTATTATTTGTTTCAGAGGTACAGATCTGAGATTCAACAGTCTTGCACAATTCACAGCACTCACCATAGCACATACCCTCCCCAGTGTCTATCACCCAGCCACCCCATCCCTCCCACCCCCCACCACTCCAGCAACCCTCAGTTTGTTTCCTGAGATTAAGAATTCCTCATATCAGTGAGGTCATATGATACTTGTCTTTCTCTGATTGACTTATTTCGCTCAGCATAACACCCTCCAGTTCCATCCACGTTGTTGCAAATGGCAAGATCTCATTCCTTTTGATGGCTGCATAATATTCCATTGTATATATATATACCACATCTTCTTTATCCATTCATCTGTCGATGGACATCTTGGCTCTTTCCACAGTTTGGCTATTGTGGACATTGCTGCTATAAACATCGGGGTGCACGTACCCCTTCGGATCCCTACATTTGTATCTTTGGGGTAAATACCCAGTAGTGCAATTGCTGGATCATATGGTAGCTCTATTTTCAACTTTTTGAGGAACCTCCATACTGTTTTCCAGAGTGGCTGCACCAGCTTGCATTCCCACCAACAGTGTGGGAGGGTTCCCCTTTCTCTGCATCCCTGCCAACATCTGTTGTTTCCTGACTTGTTAATTTTAGCCATTCTGACTGGTGTGAGGTGATATCTCATTGAGGTTTTGATTTGGATTTCCCTGATGCCGAGTGATGTTGAGCACTTTTTCATGTGTCTGTTGGCCATTTGGACGTCTTCTTTGGAAAAATGTCTGTTCGTGTCTTCCGCCCATTTCTTGATTGGATCATTTGTTCTTTGGGTGTTGAGTTTAAGAAGTTCTTTATAGATTTGACACTCAATTAAAGTCATCTATTAAAGAGAAATATTAAGTAAACAACACAAATAGGATGTGGGTGGGAAAAATTGTGAAATGATGAATAAATGACAAAAATTTCAAAAACACTGGACAGTGATCTTGGTCACAGGTGACTCTGAGTTTATAAATTGACTCCAGGGGTGCCTGGGTGGCTCAGTTGGTTAAACATCCGACTCTTGATTTTGGCTCAGGTCATGATCTCAGGGTTGTGGGATTGAGTGCCACATTAGCCCCACATTAGGCTCCACACTCAGTGGAGAGTCAGCTTCTCCCCCTCTCCCTCTGCCCCTCCCCCTGCTCTCTCTCAAATAAATAAATAAATCTTAAAAAAATAAATTGACTCCATCACTTTCTATTTGCATAAACTTGGGAAGTTATTTACTTTCCTTGGCCATATTGGTTAGTATATTTAGTTACTTGAGCAAAGACCAAAATAGTAATGGCTTAAACAAGTTATAACATTTTTTTCTATTTCACATGAAAGTTCAAGGTGGTGAGGGAGTCAGGGTAGCACTGCTCCATGAAATTTACTAGAAGCCTGGGATCCTTCCACCCAGCTGCTCCATCATCCTCACACTACAACAATGTGGGAAGGAGAAAAGAGGAAGTATGGAGCAAGCAGCTTTTTATTAAGTGCATGAACTAGAATTTACACATATCACTTTTATTTACATTCTAATAACTAACTGCAAAAGAGACTATCATCTCTAGTGGGATGGAAGGAAACGATGGAACTTCAGACATTGGACATCAAGCAACAAAGGACAATGAACCTTGAGAGATGGAAAACAAAGGAGGGGAGCTCTCTGGTCCCCCCAGTTGTCCCAGCTTACACTCTGGAGAAAGTTTCCAAGCCTCAATACAGGAAGGAAGAACTTAATCAGAACCCAAGGGTCTACCTGAGTTGAGGTGATAGAGGTGGAGTCTAGGGAAACCAGGTTGCTAGAGTTCACAGGGCTGTGTACTAGAGAGGAGAGAGATCACAGGGAGAACACTAGAGATCTGCAGAGAGACTGCATTTAGTAATCAGTTGAGTGTTAATCAGTATCTGTGTTTGGCTGGGTAAAGAACCATGTGAAAGGATCAGAGGGAACAGCGACTGGTTTGTAGGGACTAGGAATAATACCTATTCCCAACAGCTAGACTTAATAAAAAAAACTTCATAATTCAAACAGCATCAGTTAGAGCACCAAGAAGGGTATGCTTCATTAGTGGGGAAAATTAGCCCTAGACTAATTGCAGGTCTGGTCCTGCTTAAAAAGCTTAAAAGCAAAACCCCAAAAGATCAAAGTACTTCTACATAACTGAGCCAGATTCAATATTAAGATATCAGTTCTCCCCAAGCTAATTCTAAAATTCATATGGAAACACAAAGGACTTAGAATAACCAAAACAACTCTGAAAAAGAAGAACAAAACTGAAGAACTTATATTACCTGACTTCAAGTCTTATTATACAACTGTAATAATCCAGACAATGGTATTTGACAGTTCTAGAATCAAATCCCAGTTCTATCTCTTACTTACATTGGGCAAGTCACCTAATCTCTGTAAGCATCAGTTTTCTTATCTGTAAAATCAAAATAATAAAATTAACAACCTCATAGGATTATGTGACTAAATGAAATAGTGTATATAATGCACTTGGCACAGTACTGGACCTGTATAAAGAACATCACCTTTTCTCATCCATTCAACCCCAGGCTCCATTGGGCAGGAAGGAACTGTATCTGTCTTGATTATTCCTGTATCATCAAGGCCTTAAAGAACTCAGGTCTCAAGCCCAGTTCATTGTTTTCTAGTGGTTCACAACCTTCTCTCAAATACTTTGGCTTTGGAATACTTAAATTTTTTTTAAAGATTTTATTTATTTATTTATTTGTTTAAGAGAGAAAGAGAGAGAGAGAAAACTAATAAGGGGGAGGGGCAGAGGGAGAGACAGAGAGAAGCAGACTCCCCGATGATCAGGGAGCCCCATGTGGGGCTCAATCTGAGGACCTAGAGATCATGCCCTGAGCCGAAGGCAGACACTCAACCGACTGAGCCACCCAGGTGCCCCACTTTAATGTTTATTTATTGAAAATCTTAACACAGATCTGTAAAATTTTGCCTAGGATAGTATTAGAACTAAGCATAGTCAGCATGAAAAATACGAAATAAAAAATATATTAAAAATATTTAAAAATATTAAAAAATTAAAAGTATAGTGCGATGGGTAGAACTTGTCTAAAGATTTAAACTTGACTTCTAGGGACCCCTAGGTGGCTCAGTGGGTTGAGCGGCTGCCTTTGGCTCAGGTCATGATCCCACAGTCCTGGGATCGAGCCCCACATCAGGCTCCCTGCTCAGCAGAGAACTTCTTTCTCCCTGTCCCTCTGCTGCTTCCCCCGCTTGTGCTCTCTCTCTTTCTGTCAAATAAATAAATAAAATCTTAAAAAGTACATAAATATACTTTACTTCTAATAACCCCAAGTTCAAGGCATAGATAGTACTAATTATAAGACAAACCTTTAATTTCAGAATAGTATATTTAGAATCGCCCCAGTGCCCTCTAAGCTAAATATAAAAGTATAAGCAGGGGCACCTGGGTGGCTCAGTCAGTTGAGAGTCAGACTCTTGATTTTGGCTCAAGGTAATCTCAGGGTTGTGAGATCGAGCCCCGTGTAGGGCTCAGCTTAAGATTCTCTCTCTCCCTCTCTGCTTCTCCCCCTATCCCTCCCTGCCCCGCTTAAAAAAAACAAAAACAAAAACAAAAGTGTAAGCAAATGCTATTGTTTCAAAACTTAGCATGATATTGAGTCATTTTGCATAAAATTTTGTTTATAAGAATTTCAGATTAGAATGTCTGACGACTAGTATTTCACATCTCCAGAATCTACCCCTTTCACTTTGTAGTAAAAAAAAAGAATCTATAGGGCACCAGGCTGGCTCAGTTGGTAGAGCATGAGACTCCCGATTTCAAGTGAAAGTGGTGAGTTCAAACCCCATGTTGGGCACAGAGCTTACTTAAAAAAAAAAAAAAATTGAATTCTGCTTATCATACTTTAAATTCCAGCACAAACCCTTAAAACCATTATCAAAGCCATCTGACCCCTTTTTACTGGTTTAACATAGACCTGGGTCAATTTTTTAAATCTCCCCACTATTTTTTTACTTCAAAATATGCATGTCCTGTTTTATGTTATTAATTTTGCAGAAATATTCCCAAATTCTGACTTTTTCCCCAATGACATTGAAACTAGCATGTAATATCATTCTCTCAGTATAATCAGGAGAAAAATGACTGTGGTGACCCACACTTAAAGGGTGACCTGTTACGAATAATGGTTGATAAACAAGAAATTTAATTTTAATCTTTAAAGAAAGTCTAATTTCCATTTACTCTCCATCATATTTTGCTCATTCCAAAGAGCTGCCCTTTTCCATATAATGTCCTACTTCTGGCCATTTTCATGGTTAGATTTGGTGTTTAGGATGTATTTTCCTCCACTTACACCTACCTATCATTGTGAGGCTCACCAAAATCTCCATCTTTTCCATTTGGATACGTTCTAAAATCTTCCCATTCTTGTTCTAATAAGCACGTGCAAGAAAGTAATCTCTTCCTGTTTTTGGCATTGACAGTCCCCTTTTGGAATCCAACATCTAACATTTATCATCACATTTTAAGAAAAAGAAAAAGAAATAGTAATAATTGTTTAATAATAGAAAACATGAATAAAGATGAGAATAATTTGGGGGTTTTTAACCCAGAGAAAAAAAACTAAGGGATGAATTCAAATGAATGCTAAGTTATTTCACAAAAAATGCTGAATGTCCTCTATTCCATGTAAGACACAGAATGACAATTTTGAAGAGCTTTATTAACAGTAAATAAAGAAGATTTTATCAACTGTAAGGATAGTATAAAGCATTTCTGTTCTTAATAGCTTTAAAATAAGATGTACAGGGAAGTACCCAAGTTTTTGAGTGATAATGTCCTATCTTTCATTTATTACTTGGGGAGTTTGTAGACAGAAAAAGCTAAAATACCTCCCCTAAAATTGTTAGAGTGCGGAGTAGCCCAAAAAAGTAGAAGAGTGAAGACCTAGTGGCTCAGTAAATTTCTACACTATAATTTTTTCCTTTTCTTCTTTTTTTAAAATTTTAATTGCAGTATAGTTAATATACAGTGATATATTAATTTCAGGTGTACAATATAGTGACTCAACACTATGATTTTTTTTTTTTTTTGAACTAGCTTAAGTGATCATTTAGAGACGCTGTGTGTATTCTGGCTTAAGGAAATTGCCTATATCAGATCACTATTGAAAATCCCTAACTGTTTTTCATTGTTGTTCCAGGATTCAAAAAAGTATAGTACTGCCATTTACTATTTATTTCAATATGTAGAACGCTGTTTGCATAAAATTTTACTCTCTTCTTAAGAATTAGAGTAAAATATTTTTCTTAATTTCATAAAATCCTCAAACTGACACCTAGATTCTATTTTTAAAAAGATTTTATTTATTTATTTGAGAGAAAGGGAGAGAGCACACACGGGGGAAAAGGCAGAAGGAGAGGGAGAAACAGTCTCCCTATTGAGCAGGGGGCCTAATGCAAGGCTCAATCCCAGGGCCCTAGGATCATGACCAGTGTGGAAGGCAGATGGTTAACCGACTGAGCCACCCAGGCGCTCCTACTTAGCTTCTATTTTAAAAGTAAAAATATTAGTGACTCATTGGTTAGGACTTACATAAAGCTCTGAACCTTTTATAAAATAAACCTGATCTTCTTACAAATATGAGAATTAAATCAAAATGTGTGAAGTATCAGAAAATACTGCTCTAGTTAAACTTCAAAAGCTTTCTTAGCCTCTAATGAGGTAGCTTAAACAAGATCATCTTTGTTGGATGTTATTAATTGGGTCTATAAAGAGTTCTATTATTAGAGTATAACTATTTTTATAATAAACTTATTTGATTTGTAGATTAGTTCACTATAAAACCCCTTTAATCTTTGTATTAATTTTCCTGGCATTTTATGATTTCTTTCTATAATTATTGTGTTTAATAAATTAAGCAATAACCTTAATGCTTTAAAATGTTAGTGTAATAGATGAATTTCCTAACAATTCGGGTGAAAATGAGCTCATTCATGGAGAGGATTTAATATTCATTCACAAAATGACAAGAGTTCTTTCCAGATAGATGGTAACATTTTAAATAAATCTCAGCCATTGAGCGAAAAGTTTGAAAGTGGTAATCTGAGACTACAAATAATTTGATTAAGGATTAAATAAAGACCAGATTATTTTTCCTTACCTGGAGGTAATTTTTTATTTTAATTTTCAAAACATAATGAGGCTATTAACGCTTAACAAGAGCAATTGAACTATTAATTGTTCTGACCAAAAACATTTTAAAATAATATTCATGGGGTGCCTGGGTGGCTCAGTCGGTTAAGTGTCTGCCTTTGGTTCGGGTCATGATCCCTGAGTCCTGGGATGGAGCCCTGTGTTGGGTTCCCTGCTCATGGGGAGCCTGCTTCTCCCTCTCCCTCCATGCCCCCCCGCTCATGCGCTCTCTCATTCTCTCTGTCTCTCTCTCTTTCAAATAAATAAAAATCTTTAAAAAAATAATATTCACATACAAAACATCAAATCACATATATACATATATATGTATATACATAACCTTATATATATTTTTTTATATATATAAGTAGATTCTTTTTTCATGAAGTAACTTTCTGAGGCTAGCATGCAAAAAGGCTTTCTGGACTTATAATAACCATGGTATCTGTGCTACAGAATTGCCTCAAAAGTGACACCTCCTTATAATAAGATATTTTGGATTTGGTTATAAAATGTTTCTAATGAACTGTTAATTGTTTGGGGTAATTTTCAAACCTAAAAAACACACACATATATTGTACTTTTCTTTGAAAAGTCTATTCCATTTTTTTCTAACCTGCACATTTTTAGACTCTGTAGTGCTATAATAAGAAATTAAATAATCAATAATGGGACATGTGAAAAAGATTTAAAACCATCAAAACTACCGAGAACTAAAGAAACGGAAAAAGTCAATAAGCTATTTATTCAATTTCTGCAAAAGAGGACTTATTTCAAGGGCTATGTAGTGTTTCACTTAATCTTAACAAAATAGTGAATGGGTGCCTGGGTGGCTCAGGCATTGGGCATCTGCCTTTGGCTCAGGTCATGATCTCAGGGTCCTGAGATTGAGCCCTGCATCAGGCTCCCTGCTCCGCGGGAAGCCTACTTCTCCCTCTCGAACTCCCCCTGCTGTGTTCCTGCTCTCGCTGTCTCTCTCTCTGTCAAATAAATAAATAAAATCTTAAAAAAAAAAAAAAAAAAAGCATAGTGAAAAGAAAAAAACAAAACAAAATAGCCCAAGTTTGGACCAGATTATGTTGCTAACTCTGTGACTTTGGATCAATTAACTGCTCTGGGCCTCAGTGTGCATGAGGAGAGAGTGATTTTCAACTTTTCTTTTTCTTATTCTAGCAATAGAGCATTTTGCTAAATGGAGTCTTACCATGGAGCACCAATATATAAAACACATATGCAGAACTGTTCTGTTCAGGCGATGGGTGGGAAAACCTGGAGCCCTCTGCAGATTTGTTTATGCTATTTTTTGCTGTATAAAAGTTTCAAAAAAAGTTTGATGACTTTGCCTTTGCTTCTGGGTTGTACACAATCAGACTTCACAGCATAAACATTTGTAAACAATCATATCTTCCTTCTTTAAGGAAGACTTTGCATTTAAATCCTTGATCTATCTGGGGGCACCTGGGTGGCTCAGTCAGTTGAGCATCCGACTCTTGGTTTTGGTGCAGGCTGTGATCTCATGGGTCTTGTGATCAAGCCCCACATCAGGTTCCACACTCAGTGGGGAGTCTGCTTGAAGATTCTCTCCCTCTACCCCTCTTGTGCTCTCTCTCTCAAATAAATAAATGAAATAATAAATAAGTAAATAAACAAACAAATAAATCCTTGATCTATCTGGATTTTCTTTTTCTTTTTTTTTTTAAAGATTTTATTTATTTATTTATTTGACAGAGAGAGACACAGCGAGAGAGGGAACATAAGCAGGGGGGGTGGGAGAGGGAGAAGCAGGCTTCCTGCTGAGCAGGGAGCCCGATGCGGGGCTCGATCCCAGGACCCTGGGATCATGACCTGAGCTGAAAGCAGACGCTCAACGACTGAGCCACCCAGGCGCCCCTGGATTTTATTTTTCTGTAAGGAGCAAGGTAGGTCTCCAAAATCATATTTCTCAAGATTACTATCTAATTGTTCCTATGTTTATTAAGTAATTTATCTTTATCCTACTGATTTGCAATGTCACCCTCTCCTGTAATAAATTCTCATATTTATCCTCACATCGAATTCATTTCTAGTTACTGGTACTTTAGTTTTAGGGATGCTTCTATCTCTTCTCATCCTTCACTGATTGCCAAGAAGAAATATTATATTCCAGTCCTGCCTTTTTTTTTAAGTTATGAAGACTCAGTTCAATGTACTAATTGTTAGCATTTTGTATATATTTTTATGCCACATTTATTATTGCTGTGTAAAAAATATTGACATCTATTGCAACTGTGATCAAACTAAGAGATATAAAAACATTAGCAGAGTGGGTAAGAGCATGAATTCTGGAGCCAGAATAGGGATAATTATGCTACTTAGTCAACAAGATTGTTGTGAGGATTAAATGACTTAATATTTATAAAGCACTTAGTAGATGTTATGTGTTATTTATTATTACAATTATTGCATTTAAGCTAGAAATCAATTGATTTAGTTTGTATATTATACATTTCATCTTTTAAAAAATTGCTACCCTGATATTTACATGAATATTTAATTTACCAATGTCTAAATTTAGTCAATATCTCATTTCTCTCAAACCACAGATCTTATGATGATTGAACGCCAATAAATTCCCCTTCTGTCTACCATGTTATTGTTCAGTTCTATCTTGCTTTCGTAATTCCCACCATTAATCATTATATTTATTATTTTTTTCAATTCAATGTTAGTTTCACCCATGTGGTTATTAATTACTTTTGCTTGTGGGTTTATTGCCTTCTTATGGGAATACATCTTTTATTACTTTTTTATTATTATTTCTTTCAGTAAAAGTCTGAGCAATAAACACTCTGACTTTGAAAGTATATTTTGCTCTCACTCTTGAATAACAATTTAGCTAGTTATTATATTATGTATTATCAATTATTTTTCCTCAGAATATTAAAAAGTATTCTATGATCTAGTTATTTTTGCTGTCTTTTCTGGGTTCTGTGTATTTTGGTTGTTACCATTTTGGTTTGGGCTGGCTTGGTTTTGCTTTCACTCTTAAGATTGTCTCCATAAGCTTAGTCTTTGGAATTACGTTTTGCTATCTCTACTAATGGATTCATTTTTATCTTCAGGGCTCAGTGCCCTTCTTCAATATGAAGGCTCAAGGTATAATTCTTAGCCCTTTTCCTTTCCTTGCCTTTCCCCACTTCTCTCCAATCCTTTCATCTTGGAACTTCTATTGGTTGTGTGCTGTATTTCTCATTTATTCTCAAATCTCCTAATCTATTTTTTATGTTTTCCATGTTATACCTCTGTGCTGGATTCTAGCTCATTTTCTCACACCTATATTTCAGTCCACTAATTCACTCTTCAGAGTCTAACCTTTTTTTTTTTAAGATTTTATTACTTATTTGAGAGAGAGAGTGCGCATGGGAGGAGGGGCAGGGGTAGAGAGAGAATCTCAAACAGACTTCCGGCTGAGTGTGGAGCCCCACACGGGGCTCCATCTCACGACCCTGAGATCAGGACCTGAGCCGAAATCAAGAGTGGGTCGCTCAACTGACTGAGCCACCCAGATGCCCTGAGTCTGTTAGTTTTTTTCTTCACAGTAACTAGCACTATTCCAGCTGCGTGCATTTGAGCTCTATGACTGTGCACGGTTCGGGGGCAGACAGCAATTCTGGTTTCCTGCTGCAAGTCATGGTTTCAGTTCTTGCTCCCCTGTTAACGGGAGCTCAGGACCAAGTCTCTTGTTCCCACCTGGGAGTGAGATTCCTATTTCCTGTCCAATTGGATCCATATCGATGTCTGATAACCTCCTCAGTTG